GAATCCCAAGAACTCCAGGATTCCCTCATTCCCTTGGGATCGAGATGGGATTCCCAGAGGAGAGTGGGAATTGTAAAATTTAAGGAATGCCACAGGATTGGGTCTGGAAACCCCATGGATACAAAAGGGAGAAGGAAAGGCTGGAATTCCGTGTCCATGGTCAGCTTGTCTTCCCAGCTTTTCCTCTTCCAAAGGGAAATTCCTTTTTTTTATTTCTTTGCTTAATCCCGTATCCCATCCCACCTCATTCCCACATTTTATTATATTCCTTTCCCAGCTTTTTCCATGGTGATATCCATGAAAATTTTAATTAATTAATTCAAACCACCTCAAAAAAATTCTTAATTAACCCTCATCCATTTCCACGCTCCAGGAATTTTGCTTTGCCATGGAAAAATTCCTTCAGCCAGGCTGTTAAAACTCATTTTTCCGGACAATCACATTTGGAATCAAACATTCTGGAGCTGCTTTTGTCCCGGATCTTCAATTATCCCGACATTCACGGGTCATTGATTAATTAATTAATTATGGTTGATTAATTAGCCAATCAAAGCCTCCCCCCTGCTCCCATTGGGGATCGATGGAAATTCCGGCTTTTTTTTTTTATCCTGTTTTTTTACGGAATGAGGGAAGCCTGGAGCGAGGAGCAGGAGAAGGAACGAGCTCGTCCTTGGGAATGATGGATTTTTTTTTCCCTGGAAAATGATTTCTGGGAGGTTTTATCGGGAATTAGGGAAAATTTGGGTGGGAAAAATCCTTAAAGAGTCTCAGATTCCAATGGGGATCTGGGATGATCCACGCTCATCCAACCCTGCCCGAAACTGGATAAAAATTCCCTAAAAATTCAAAAATGAGGAATTATCCAAGCCCACTTCTATTCATTAGCACGAAATAAATATTAATTTATTAATAATTAATTTATTAATCCTTTCTTAATTACTATTTCCTGCCCAATTCCTCCTTTTCCCTCCCTTCCCATTAAATCCCCTTTGGAATTTCGTCGGATTTGAATCCTGATTTGATTTTGCCTTAAACAAAATCCTGGCATTTATTATTCAGCTTTCCCACAGTTAATTCCCATTTTTCCAGCAAATAGTTGGAATTTTTATCCATACCATTTTCAATCCACGTTTTCCCAGAATTTTTTTTTGCATGGATGCATCAAATCCTTGTTTTTTCTTGGCCATTTCAGAGTTTTCCCAACTTTTTTTTGGTGCTGTCGCATCCTAAATAATCAGATCCTTGTTTTTTATGGGAAGCAGGAGAGAAAATTCCATAGGAATGTGCAGGACTCACATTCAAGCTGGGAATTAAGGGAAGGAAAATCCCAATTTTAACTGGATAAAACATGGATAGGAGGCAAAATTCCCCCTTTATTCCCTTTATTTCCTGGCTCAAAATTCCGGATTTTTCCTGGGAATCTGAGCATGGAGCTGGAGGCTGGAATTTCCTGGGAACGGCCCCTGGAAGCGTTGGACCAATCCCAGCAGGATCGATCCAGAGGGGAGTGGTTGGATAAATTTATCAACATTCCCGGAATTTCTTTGGCTTGGGATTCAAAGCTCTGGAGCAGCCGCTTCCAGAGAATCCATGGAAAACAGGGATACCCCATCCATGGAAAACAGGGACACCCCATCCATGGGATTTTGTCCCCTTGGAGCATCCGGGGGGACGCGGAGGGAGGACAAGGAAAAGACGGAGCCACCAGTGGGAAAAGTTGGGAATTTTCGTTCCAGGATGGAGCAGCCGGTGAGTGCTGGACTTTCCAAGGAATTCCTGTGGGAATTCCTGATGGGAATTCCCACCTGGATTGGAGGGATGGAGAGGATGAGGAGGGAGGAATGATGGCATTCCAAGTGGTGATTCCATAGGGAAAAGGGATTTTTGGGAAGGAGCCGCCTTCAAGACCTAAAGAGCAACGAGCAGATCTGGGATTTTCCATGGAAAACCGGGAAATTTGGGAAGGAATTCCCAGGGAAGTTTAACCATTGGGTTTTCCTGGGAATGCAGCGGCCAGATGGGTTTGGAATCTTGAACAGGATTGGATATAAAGGATGGGAATTCTGAGAAATTCCAGGATTTCAATTTGGATTGAATTAAAAGTTCCGGAGCGGCCACTTCCAGAGGCTCCCGCTGGAGCTGAATTCCAAGAATTTCTGGAAGGGCTGGAGCTGCTCCGGGGGGAAGGGAAGGAGCTTGGAATGGGAAAAATTCCTGAGGATGAGTTGTGGATTTTTTGGGAAAGCGCTGAGGAAAGGAGGGACAACATCCCAAGGTTAAGATGTTCGAAATTTGGGAGGGAATTTTGGGAAGAAGGAGATGGGGGGGACAAAGATCCAGCAGATCCTGGAATTCCTGAGGGATTGGGAAAAATCCTGGGAAAAAAGTGTGGCAAGGGTGCTGCTTCCCAAGGGAAAATTCCAGCCTCAATCTCTTGGATCAGGGGCTGCCAGGGACGGACTGGGATGGCTTTTCCAGGGAATTGTGGGGTTTCCTTGGAATTCCTGATGGTTTTCCTTGTGTGTTTCGGGATGGGAAAAATGGGAATCTGAGGGGAACTTTTATCCTGGAAAAGTGATGGAGCAAATCCCGTGGGAAGCCTTGGGTGGGATGGGGGAAATGAATTCCCTGGAAAAGCCCTGGAGGATCCGGCAGATCTTTGTTGTTCCTGGATGGATCAGAAAAAATCCTGGAAAAATCCTGGAAAAATCCTGGGAAAGTGAGGCAAGGGCCACGCTGGTGCTGCTTCCCAAGGGAAAATTCCAGCCTCAAACCGTTGGATCAGGGGCTGCCAGGGATGGACTGGGAATGCTTTTCCAGGGAATTGTGGGGTTTCCTTGGAATTCCTGATGGATTTCCTTGTGGGGAACCTTTATCCCAGAAAATTGATGGAGCAGTTTCCTGGGATAAAGGGGGGAGTGGATTCCCTGGAAACATTCCAAGGTTTTGGGGACTTTGGGATAATTTGGATGGCCGGGGCTGTTGGTGCTGTCGGAATTCTGGGATTTTCGGATGGAGTTTTGAACCATGAATCACCGGATGGGATTTTGGGATTGGGTTTTGTGGGGTGACACAACATCCAACGCCCTTCCCAATGGATCAGCCCCTGATTCACCGGAAAATCCCAAATCCTTTGTTTTTCTGGCTCCAGGAACTCCAGGTGCTTCCTGCACCCTCCCTCTCACCCTTATCCCATTTTTTTTTGCTGGAAGTGGCTTCTCCCAGCCTGGAATTAAACTCTGAGAATTGCAGGGCCGGAATTTTTCTCAGGAGATGACCTAAGCCCCGAAATTCCTGCTTTTTTTTCCCAGCTGGCTCCACAAACTGCTCCCAGTTTGGCGTTGGAGGGTGGAAAAAAAATTCCTGTGGATTCCTCCTCTCCTCCAGGATTGCTTTTCCCTGGATTTCTGAAAATCCCAACTCCTTCCCAGGACTGTGATCAGGAATGATGGGAATGATGGGAATGGTGACATCCAGCCTGGCCCAAGGTGGGATTTGGGAGCTCCAGGTGGGAATTCCCACGGATATTCCCAATCCTGTGGCTCTGATCCCTTCTCCCCCAACCCACGGAAATCCAGGAGAATCCCGTGGGATTTTCCACCCTGTGGGAATGGGAATGCTGCTGGAATGGCATGGAAGGAGTAATCGGGGTGAAAACCAGGATCCTGGGAGAAACCCAAAGAGAATCCTTGGAGGAAAGCCGGGAATGCTCCCTGGGCCTGGACTGGGGCTTTGTCCTGGTTTTAGGAGGATCCATGTTGGGATCCATTCCCGAATCCCTGTTCGGATCTGTGCCCAGCTCCATTCCCAAATCCATGTTGGGATCCATGTTGGGATCCATGCCTGGATCCATGTTGGGATCCATGCCCGGATCCGTTCCTGAATCTGTGTCCAGATCCATGCCCAGGTTCGTGTTCGGATCAATGTCCAGATCTGTGCTGGGATCCATTCTGAAATCCATGCTGGGATCCATTCCCAGATCCATGCTGGGATCCATGTTGGGATTCATTCCTGAATCTGTTTTGGGATCCATGCTGGGATCCATTCCCAAATCCATGTCTGGATCCATGTCCTGAGTGTGGCAATCCCTCAGGGATGGACATGGATCCGTCATCCTTTGTTTCTTTAGTTTTTAATTTAAAAGATTGGGAAAACTTGGGAATTCCTCATTTCCCATGGATTTCCCCCTGCCAGAACCCCCCAAACCCTTTCCCTCCTTCTTTTCCCCCATTCCCATGGAAAACCCTTTGAATTCCCATTTTCTCCCTCTCTTTCCCTATGGATTTCCCTTTGAAATCCACGGTAGGAACACCCAATATTTTGGATTTTTTCAATAGTTCATCCATAAAAACCCAGGAATTCCTCATTTCCCACAGCTCTGCCCCATCCCAAACCCTTTCCCTCCCTCATTCCCCCATTCCCTGGAGAACCCGGTGGATTCCCACTTTCTCCTTCTGTTTCCCTACGGATTTCCCTTTGGAAACCACAGTGGGAACACCCGATATTTGGGGTTTTTTCAATAATTTATCCATAAAAACTCATTTCCCACTGCTCTGCCCCATCCCAAACCCTTTCCCTCCCTCATTCCCCATTCCCTGGAGAACCTGATGGATTCCCACTTTCTCCTTCTGTTTCCCTACGGATTTCCCTTTGGAAACCGCAGTGGGAACACCCGATATTTTGGGTTTTTTCAATAATTTACCCATAAAAACTCATTTCCCACAGCTCTGCCCCATCCCAAACCCTTTCCCTCCCCATTCCCCATTCCCTGGAGAACCCGGTGGATTCCCATTTTCTCTCTCTCATTCCCTATGGATTTCCCTTTGGAAACCACAGTGGGAACACCCGATATTTGGGGTTTTTTCAATAATTTACCCATAAAACCTCATTTCCCACAGCTCTGCCCCATCCAGCCCCTCTCCCCCCTCACTCCCCATTCCCCAAGCCCCCGGCCCATGCCGGCGTTTCCGCGGCTGACGCGGCGTTCCGTGGCGTTGCAGAAGTGTCTGCGGCTGAACCCCGACGTGCCGGTGTGGGTGTCCAAGCAGCGCATCCTGTGCACGCTCAACCACAGCCTGAAGGATGTGCTCAACTACGGCCTCTTCCAGCCCGCCTTCAACGGCCGCGCCGGCAAGTTCCTGGACGAGGAGCGGCTGCTGCGGGAGTACCCGCTGAACCCCGACACGCCCCTGCCCTACCTGGAGGTGACCGGCCGGCGGGGCGGGCGGGAGGAGCCGCTTGCAATTCCGATTTGGGATGTGTGGCTTTGGTTTGTTTGGTTTTGTTTTGTTTTGGTTTATTTTTTTATTTTATTTTGTTTTATTTTGTTTCATTTAATTTCGTTTATTTTTTCTTTATTTTATTTTGTTTCATTTTATTTTATTTTTAAAAATATTTTATTTTGTTTTATTTTATTATATTTCATTTTGGTTTTTTATTTTATTTTTTAATTTATATTTTATTTCATTTTCTTTTGTTTTATTTTATTTTGTTCCATTTTATTTTATACTTCTATTTTCTTTAGGTTTATTTTATACTTCTATTTTATTTTGTCTTATTTTATTTTATTCTACTTTATTTTATGTTATTTATTTTAATTAAATTTTGTTTTATTTTGTTTTACTTTATTTTATTTTACCTTTTAATTTTTTTATTTTATTTTGTTTTGTTTTATTTCTATTTAATTTTGTTTAATTTTGTTTTATTCGTTATTTATTTGTTTAATTTGTTACATATATTATCTCTTATCTCTGTGTCTCTCCTCTCTTGTCTCTTTTTGTATTCATTTATCTCTTTTCCTTTATCTCACATTCATGTGTCTCTTATCGCTGTTTATCTCTTATCCCTCATTGATTTATCTCTATATTACATTTTGATGTCTCCTCTGTCTTATCTTTATATCCTATTAACTTATCTCTTATCTCAATTTCTCTTTTATCTCTGATTATCGCTTATCTCTGTTTATCTCTTATCTTCGTCTTTTCTCTTTTATCTCTCTTACTTATATTAATTTATCTGTTAACTCTTTATCTCACATTCATTTATCTCTTATCTCAATTTCTCTTTTATCTCTGATTATCGCTTATCTCTGTTTATCTCTTATCTTCGTCTTTTCTCTCTTATCTCTCTTATATTAATTTATCTGTTAACTCTTTATCTCACATTCATTTATCTCTTATCTCTTATCTCACCTCTCTCATATCCATTTATCTCATGTCTTATCTCCCTTTATCTCTTATCTTTGTCTCTCCTCTCTTATCTTTCTTAGTTATGTTAATTTATCTGTTAACTCTTTATCTCATATTCATTTATCTGTTATCTCTCATCTCTTATACCCATTTATCTCATGTCTTATCTCTGTTTATCTCTTATCTTTCTCTCTTATCTTTCTTACTTATATTAATTTATCTGTTAACTCTTTATCTCACATTCATTTATCCCTTATCTCTCATCTCACCTCTCTTATACCCATTTATCTCATATCTTATCTCTGTTTATCTCTTATCTTTGTCTCTTGTCTTTCTCATTGATATTAATTTATCTGTTAACTCTTTATCTCATATTCATTTATCCCTTATCTCTCATCTCACCTCTCTCATATCCATTTATCTCATGTCTTATCTCTGTTTATCTCTTATCTTTCTCTCTTATCTTTCTTACTTATATTAATTTATCTGTTAACTCTTTATCTCATATTCATTTATCCCTTATCTCTCATCTCACCTCTCTCATACCCATTTATCCCATATCTTATCTCCCTTTATCTCTTATCTTTGTCTCTTGTCTCTTATCTTTCTCATTGATATTAATTTATCTGTTAACTCTTTATCTCACATTCATTTATCTCTTATCTCTCATCTCACCTCTCTTATACCCATTTATCTCATGTCTTATCTCTGTTTATCTCTTATCTCACCTCTCTCATATCCATTTGTCCCATCTCTTATCTCCATTTCTCCCTTATCTCTTATCTCACCTCTCATATCCATTTATCCCGTATCTTATCTCTGTTTATCTCTTATCTCTTATCTCACCTCTCTCATACCCGTTTATCCCATCTCTTATCTCCGTGTCTCCCTTATCTCTCATCTCACCTCTCTCATACCCATTGATCCCATCTCTCATCTCACCTCTCATACCCATTGATCCCATATCTTATCTCCGTGTCTCCCTTATCTCCTCACATTCATTTATCTGTTATCTGTCATCTCACCTCTCTCATACCCATTTGTCCCATCTCTTATCTCCCTTTATCTCTTATCTCTTATCTCACCTCTCTCATACCCATTGATCCCATCTCTCATCTCACCTCTCATACCCATTGATCCCATATCTTATCTCCGTGTCTCCCTTATCTCTTATCTCACCTCTCTCATACCCATTTGTCCCATCTCTTATCTCCCTTTATCTCTTATCTCTTATCTCACCTCTCTCATATCCATTTATCCCATCTCTTATCTCTGTTTATCTCTTATCTCACCCCTCTCATACCCATTTATCCCATCTCTTATCTCCCTTATCTCTTATCTCTCATCTCACCTCTCTCATACCCATTGATCCCATCTCTTATCTCCGTGTCTCCCTTATCTCGCAGTTCCGCTACAAGCGCCGCGTGTATTCCCAGCCGCTGCTGGACGACAAGCAGTTCGCCAAGCTGCACACCAAGGTGAGCCCCAGTCCTCGGAATTCCCAAGGAATCCCATGGAATTCCCATGGAGACACCCCCAGGACAGCCCTCCGGCCCCGGAATTCCGGGATATCCCAAGGAATCCCTGCAGTCAATCAAACAGTGCCAAAACTGGTATGGGAGTGAGCCCGGAATTCCCATGGAATTCCCATGGAGACACCCCCAGGAAACCCCTCTGGCCCTGGAATTCCGGGATATCCCAAGGAATCCCTGCAGTCAATCAAACAGTGCCAAAACTGGTATGGGAGTGAGCCCGGAATTCCCATGGAATTCCCATGGAATTCCCATGGAGACACCCCCAGGAAACCCCTCCAGCCCCGGAATTCCGGGATAAAGGAATCCCTGCAGTCAATCAAAGGAGCACCAAAACTGGAATGGGAGTGAGCCCGGAATTCCCGTGGAATTCCCATGGAGACCCCCCCCAGGAAACCCCTCTGGCCCCGGAATTCCGGGATATCCCAAGGAATCCCTGCAGTCAATCAAACAGCGCCAAAATCGGAACGGGAGTGGCGGTCAGCCTGGAATTCCCATGGAATTCCCATGGAGACCCCCCCAGGAAACCCCTCCGGCCCCGGAATTCCGGGGTATCCAAAGGAATCGCAGCAGTCAATCAAACAGAGCCAAAACCAGAAGGGGAGTGGGGGTCAGCCTGGAACTCCCATAGAATTCCCATGGAGACACTCCCAGGAAACCCCTCTGGCCCCGGAATTCCGGGATATCCCAAGGAATCCCAGCAGTCAATCAAACAGCGCCAAAACTGGAATGGGAGTGAGCCCGGAATTCCCATGGAATTCCCATGGAATTCCCATGGAGACCCCCCCAGGATACCCCTCCGGCCCCGGAATTCCGGGATATCCCAAGGAATCCCTGCAGTCAATCAAAGCAGTGCCAAAACCGGAACGGGAGTGGGGGTGAGCCTGGAATTCCCAAGGAATCCCCATGGAGACACCCCCAGGAAACCCCTCCGGCCCCGGAATTCCGGGATATCCCAAGGAATCCCAGCAGTCAATCAAACAGCGCCAAAACTGGAATGGGAGTGGGGGTCAGCCTGGAATTCCCATGGAATTCCCATGGAGACACCACCAGGAAACCCCTCCGACCCTGGAATTCCGGGATATCCCAAGGAATCCCAGGAGAAATTCAAAGTAGCACCAAAACCGGAATAGGAGTGGGGGTGAGCCCGGAATTCCCATGGAAATCACCTGGAAAACCCTGGAAAACAGCTCCAGAATTCCGGGATATCCCAAGGAATCCCAGGAGAAATTCAAAGTAGCACCAAAACCGGAATAGGAGTGGGGGTGAGCCCGGAATTCCCATGGAAATCACCTGGAAAACCCTGGAAAACAGCTCCAGAATTCCGGGATATCCCAAGGAATCCCAGGAGAAATTCAAAGTAGCACCAAAACCGGAATAGGAGTGGGGGTGAGCCCGGAATTCCCATGGAATTCCCATGGAAGTCACCTGGAAAACCCTGGAAAACAGCTCCAGAATTCCGGGATATCCCAAGGGATCCCAGCATTCCTGGTGCCAAAATCCCAATAGGAGCAGTTGGAAAGATTTCTTTGGGTTTCCTTGGATTTTATTGGATTTTATCCAGATTTCCTTGGATTTTATTGGATTTTTATCCAGATTTCCTTGGATTTTATTGGATTTTTATCCAGATTTCCTTGGATTTTATTCCATGGGGTAGGATTGAGTGGGAAGAGCATCCGTGGGGTGCTGAAATCTGGGATCACGGATTTATCTTCCATCTCCCTTTTCCCTTTTCCTTTGGCTGCTTGTCCCAAGCCTGTGGAATTTTGGGAAGGAGCTTTCCTTTTCCTTTTTTCCCTTTTTCCTTTTTTTCCTCTTTTTTCTCTCTTTTCTTTCTCTTTTTTTAATCTTTTTTCCTCTTTTTTCCTCTTTTTTCCTCTTTTTTCCTCTTTTTTCCTCTTTTTTCCTCTTTTTTCCTCTTTTTTCCTCTTTTTTCTCTTTTTTATTTTTTTTCTCCTCTCCTTTTTTCCCTTTTTCCTTTTTTTCCTCTTTTTTCTCTCTTTTCTTTCTCTTTTTTTTATCTTTTTTCTCTTTTTTCCTCTTTTTTCTCTTTTTTATTTTTTCTCTTTTTTTCCTTTTTTTCTTTTTCCTCTTTTTTCTCTTTTTTCTCTTTTTTTTTCTTTTTTTCTCTTCTTTCTCTTTTTTCTCTTTTTTCTCTTTTTTCTCTTTTTTCTCTTTTTTTCTCTTTTTTTCTCTTTTTTTTCTCTTTTTTTCTTTTTCTTTTTTTCCTTTTTTTCTCTTTTTTTCTCTTTTTTTCTCTTTTTTTCTCTTCTTCCCTCTTTTTCCTCTTTTTTCCCTTTTGCCCCTCTTTTTCCCCCATTTTCCTGTTCCCCTTTTCCTTGGCCTGCTGCAGCTCCAGACCCTGTGGGATTTTGGGAAGGAGCCTTTCCTTGGCCTTTTCCAGTCCCGCGGTTTATTTGGGAACGCCGGCTCGGAGCCGAAGGGACAATTCCAGCCAATCCATCCCCATTCCGCGCCCGTTGGAGCGATGCCGGCACAGCGGGCACGGATCGACCTTTCCCGGGAAAAGCTGGGATTGGAGCAGCTCCCGGGAAAAGGCTGGGATTGGAGCTGGATCCAGAGGGAGCGGGAGCAGGGATGGGATCCTGGCTGGCACGGGGACACCGGGACACCCGGGGAGCCTCGGGAACGGTACCGGATCCGGGGGAACGTCGGGATAACGGGCAGGGATCGTTCCCGGAATGGGGGCATGCAGGGAACGGCTGGAATTCAGCACGGAGATTCCCTGGGCACATCGGGATAATGAGCACGGATCATTCTCTGAGCCAGGAATGGGCCTGGAGTTCAGCACGGAGATTCCCTGGGAACATCGGGATAATGAGCACGGATCATTCTCTGAGCCAGGAATGGGGCTGGAGTTCAGCACGGAGATTCCCTGGGAACGTCGGGATAACGGGCAGGGAGCATTCCTGGAATGGGATCATCCAGGGAATGGCTGGAATTCAGCACGGAGATTCCATGGGAACATCGGGATAGTGGGCAGGGATTGTTCCCGGAATGGGGTCATGCAGGGAATGGGGCTGGAATTCAGCACGGAGATTCCCTGGGAACATCGGGATAATGAGCACGGATCATTCTCTGAGCCAGGAATGGGGCTGGAATTCAGCACAGAGATTCCCTGGGAACATTGGGATAACGGGCAGGGATCGTTCCGGAATGGGGTCATGCAGGGAACAGCTGGAATTCAGCACGGAGATTCCCTGGGAACATCGGGATAACGGGCAGGGATCCTTCCCGGAATGGGGTCATGCAGGGAACGGCTGGAATTCAGCACAGAGATTCCATGAGGTTTGGGAGCTGAGGAATTCCAGTTTCACTTCCTGGGGAATTCCTGCCTCAGTTTCTGTAAATTTCTGCTTCAAATCCTGGGAATTTCTGCTTCAGTTTCTGGGGGTTTCTGTTTCAGTTCCTGGGGAATTCCTGCTTTGGTTTGTGAGGAATTTCTGCTTCAGTTTCTGGGATTTTTTCCTTTGGTTTCTGAGAATTCCTGCTTTGGTTTTTGGGGAATTCCTCCTTCAATTCCTGGGGAATTCCTGCTGTGGTTTCCGTGGGGTCTCTGCTTCAAATCCTGGGAATTTCTGTTTTGGTTCCTGAGAATTTCTGCTTCAGTTTCTGGGAATTCTCGCCTCAGCTTCTGGGGGGTTTTCTCCTTGAAATCCAGGGAATTCCTGCTTCAGTTCCTGGGAATTCCTGCTCTCCCATGTGTTTAATATTGAGCTTTTCCTTGGAAAAGTAGAAGCGCTGCCTCTGTGTCCCAGGATGGGCCTTTCTGGGATTTGTGGCTCTGTCTGTCCTCGGGGAGGGAAATGTTGGATTTTCTGGGATTCTGAGGGATGGATGGGATTCCCTAGGAAAGGGAGATTGGGGTGGGATTTTGGGAAGGAATTCCTGGCTGGGCTGGAATTCCCAGAGCAGCTGGGGCTGGAATGTCCAAGGAAAGGCTGGAGCAGCCTGGGACGGTGGGGTTGGGATGGGATGGGGTTGAAGGTCCCTTCCCACCCAAACCATTCCGGGATTCTGGGATTTGGGATGCTCAGAATCCATCCCGAGGGATTTTTATGGAAGTTGGGGATGGAAAAGGGAAGGGAGACCCTTCCTGGAGTCCCTGCCCTTGGAATGGGACGGGATTGGGATGGGATCTGAGGTTCCTTCCCACCCAAACCATTCCAGGATTCCCGGTGCCGTGGCTCTGGAGATTCCCACCGGGAGGAGTTGTGCAATTCCAGAGGCTCCGCGTTGCCCTGTCACGGCAGCAAATCCATAATTCCCTGTTTCTGTGGGATCAATGAATCCATTTGCTGCTGCCTGGCAGCGGGAGGCGGATCCATGGATTTGCTCCGGCCTCTCCCGGCTCCAAGGGCACGGCGGGTCTGAATTCCAGCTCTTGGGATTTTCCAGGACACTTCCCAGATTTTGAATGGTCGGCTTGGAATAAACTCCAAAAAAATCCTCCAATGAAAAGTCTGGAAATCTGGGAATGTGGTATTTTCCCACCGGAGCCATTCCTGCCTCCGCAATTCCTGGAATCCGGGAATTTAATAATGACTTCATCCAGCCAGAAAAAAACAGGAAAAATCCCAGCAATTTGGGAATTCAAGGCGAATCTTTGGGAATTCCAGCTTGGGGGAACAAAATTCCAATCCTGAAACTTGGGATAGAGGGGAGGCACCAGCAGCCTGAACTCCCATGGGATGATCCGACAATTCCAAGGAATTCTGCAGCTGCCTCATCCCTGGAATTGTTGGAATAACCTGGGATGGTGGGAGGAGTCCATACCCTTGGAATGGGATGGGATTTCAGCTCCCATCCTGCCCAAACCACTCCAGAATTCCTAAATTCCCTTCCAAACCTTTTCCTCATCCTGCTTGGCATTTCCAAGGTCTTTTCCCAACTTTCCAACTGGAAATCATCCAAATACAAATGGAAACACGGCATTTTTGGGATTCATCCCTAAAATGATCCCTAAAAAGGATCATTTTCCCGTCTGGATTTAAGGTGGGAAATGTTGGAATTGAAATTTTTTCCTTGGATGTGAAATCCAACTTCAACTTCTCCATTTCCTTGGAACTTTTCCCAGATTTTCCCCTCGGTTCCCGACATTTCCACGTGGATTTGTGTCCCATCCCGATGGAATTCAGTCCCGTGACTCCGATTTTTCTTGGATTTTTGGGACGAGGGTGTTCCCCCGGTGGCTTTTCCCGGAATTTCAGGATGTTAACGTGGTGTTTTTCCCGAATCCAGGCGAACCTGAAGAAATTCATGGAATACGTGCAGATGCTGAACTCGGAGAAGGTTTGCCGGCTGCTGGAAAAGGGGCTGGATCCCAACTTCCATGATCCCGACACCGGAGGTCAGTCCCATGTTTTCCTCGGGATTCGGGAGCGCTTCCTGGAAGGAATCAGCTCAACATTCCCAATTCCTTCCCAGAATTCCTCCAGGCTTTCCTCTGGAATTTTTCCCACTCTCTCCCAGTTGTTATTTGGGGTTTTATGGCACAATTCCCGCTTTTCAGGGGATTTTGGGAATGTGGCATTCCTTAGGGACAACTCTTCCCTTCCCAGTCCCTTCTGGGGTTCACTGGGATACAATCCCACGTTTTTCCTCTTGGAATGTTTTCCCTTCCTGTTCCCATTTCCAATCCCAGCTGCTGTTGGACGAAGGGATTGGAATATCTCAAATTCCAGGATTGGGAGTTTTGGGGTTTTTTGGGAATGTTGGTTGGCTTCCCGTGCATTTCCCAGGAAGTCTGGGCTGGATGCTGGAAGAGCAGGGTGGGAATGGGCCGGGAATGAGCCAGCACTTTTCATGTTGGAATTTTTGGGAGTGGATCCTTGGAAAATCCTGCTTGGAAAAATGCTTCCCTGCAGGATTTCATCCCATAAATGGACTGGGAATGACTGGGATGAAAAATATTGGGAAAATATTCCTCTGCAGGGATGAATCCCGTTCATGGACTGGGAATAGCTGGGATGAGCCATAAAATCCCCTGAGCTTCCTGGGACACCCTGAGCTGATCCCATGGATTCCAAATTTTGGGAGTCTTCATTTCAATGGATTTTGGGAAGGGATTTAAGCTGTGCTAAGGATTTATTCCCATTTTCCTGGCTCTTGTTGGATGGAAAAATAGGGGAAAATCCACTTTGGGAAGCAATTCCAGCCCTGTTTGCTGCTGTTCCCATTTCGGGGTTGCTGGGAAGATATTCCAGGAAAGATTCCAGGGATTTGAAAGGGATGAAAAAGCCCAAAAAACTGACAGTTGCTACCTGTGGGGACATTGAAAAAGCGGGAATGAAAAAAACCCTGGATCCGGGAGAAGTTTCCGTTGTTCTGGAATGAAAGCCAAACCCCAGGGAAGGTTTTGCCGGAGAAAAGAGGGAAGACAAAAATCCTTGGATGTTTAACGAGGGATATTTAATGAGGGACAGTGGGAGAGGAGCCCAGGAAAACGTTGGAATTACAAAGGAGGATTCAAAATCCCTGAAATGACGTGGGGGAAAATTTGCTGCGGGAATCGGGAATGGGGGAGGGAAAAGGACATGGAGCCAGGCTGGGAAAACTGGGAATGTTCCCCTGGAGAAGGGAAAGATCCAGAGAGAGCTTCCAGCACATCCCAGGGCCTGCAGGGGCTCCAGGAGAGCTGCAGAGGGACTGGGGACAAGGGACAGGAGCCAGGGAATGGCTGCCAGTGCCAGAGGGCAGCCATGGATGGGATGCTGGCAATGAGGAATTGCTGGCTGGGCTGGAATTGCCAGAGCAGCTGGGGCTGCCCCTGATCCCTGCAGTGCCCAAGGAAAGGCTGGAGCAGCCTGGGATTGTGGGATTGTCCCTGCCCTTGGAATGGGATGGGAATGATCTCATGGATAGGGATGAGATGACCTTGGAATGTCCCTTCTTCAAATCATGGAATTGTTGAGGTTGGAAAAGAATTCCAAGGTCACCAATCCAAACTCAGCCCGATCCCCACCAGAGCCCCAAGTGCCACCCCCAGGAATTCCTTGGGCACTCCAGGGATGGGACTCCAAAGCTCCCTGGGCAGCCCCTGCCAAGGCCTGACCCCTTTCCATGGCAAACGATCCCAAATGTGGGAGCGGGGCCTGCCCTGGGCCAGCCTGAGGCCGCTCCCTCTTCTCCCGGGGCTCCTTCCCTGGAGCAGATCCCGATCCCCGCGGGCTCCTGGCAGGAGCTGGGCACAGCCAGAAGGACATTCCCCATCCCTGCCCCGATCCCAGCAGAGCTGCCCTGGCCCCAGCCCGGCCCAGATCCCACTTTTCCCAGGCTCTCCCTGCACGGATCCCTGGCAGCCCCTGCCCAGCCCAGGGGGGCTCGGGGGCCCTTCCCGAGGCACTGCCGGCATTCCATGGGCAAGGATTCCACAATTCCCCAGTCCTGGTGGGGTCTGCCTGGCAAGGACCTCCCAGCCCATCCCAAAGATCCCCCGGAGCTGCCTCTGCTCCAGGCTGAGCCTAAATCCCAAATCCCTCTGGAGTTTTCCAGTCCCTTCCCAGCTCTGTTCCCTTCCCTGGCCCCACTCCATCCCCTCCTTATCCCGAGGATCTGGAACTTCCCCATGGAATGTGCAAAACTTTCTCCTGTTGTTCTTTCCTACTCTGGATGCCAGGCATTTCTTAATTCCCTCTTGAATTCCAGCCCCTTTTCCATGATTTCCTGCCAGGACAAGCTGACCATGGACACGGAATTCCAGCCTTTCCTTCTCCCTTTTGTATCCATGGGGTTTCCAGACCCAATCCTGTGGCATTCCTTAAATTTTACAATTCCCACTCTCCTCTGGGAATCCCATCTCGATCCCAAGGGAATGAGGGAATCCTGGAGTTCTTGGGATTCCCAGCAGGATCTGTGGGATTTGTAGCAGCAACCTTGGCAGAAGTCAGGAGCATCCAGAGGCTTCTCCTGCTTGGAATCCACCCCTTATCCCTGGATTAGGATTTTTCCATTGGTAGCACCAGATTTTGCATTTTCCGAGGGGCCAAGAAGGATCCACGGTTTCCCAGATCTCATTCCCAAGATACTTTGGCTGCTTTGCCACCTAAACCTGGAATTTTCCATCCAATTCCCACTCCTGCTGCTCAGGAGATCCTTGGGAGTACCTGGAAGGGAGCAGCTCCCAAATTTGGCCGCCATTCCCATGGATCCAATCCCAAACCCCAAGGAGATCTCGGTGGGCGCTTCCGGCTGGGATCCCACAGGGAGCCATTCCCCGGGATGTGCTGGACCTTCCATGGATGTCCCGCATTCCCGTGTCCTCCCAGAGTGCCCGCTGACGGCGGCGGCGCAGCTGGAGCTCAGCACCGACATGATCAAAGCGCTCCGGAACGGCGGAGCCCACCTGGACTTCCGGACCCGCGAGGGAATGACGGCGCTGCACAAAGCCGTGAGGTGTCGGAATCACGCGGCCCTGCTGGTCAGTGCCGGGGCTTTCCATCCTCATTGCCACTCTTCCTCTTCCTCTTCCTCTTCCTCTTCCTCTTCCTCTTCCTCTTCCTCTTCCTCTTCCTCTTCCTCTTCCTCTTCCTCTTCCTCTTCCTCTTCCTCTTCCTCTTCCTCTTCCTCTTCCTCTTCCTCTTCCTCTTCCTCTTCCTCTTCCTCTTCCTCTTCCTCTTCCTCTTCCTCTTCCTCTTCCTCTTCCTCTTCCTCTTCCTCTTCCTCTTCCTCTTCCTCTTCCTCTTCCTCTTCCTCTTCCTCTTCCTCTTCCTCTTCCTCTTCCTCTTCCTCTTCCTCTTCCTCTTCCTCTTCCTCTTCCTCTTCCTCTTCCTCTTCCTCTTCCTCTTCCTCTTCCTCTTCCTCTTCCTCTTCCTCTTCCTCTTCCTCTTCCTCTTCCTCTTCCTCTTCCTCTTCCTCTTCCTCTTCCTCTTCCTCTTCCTCTTCCTCTTCCTCTTCCTCTTCCTCTTCCTCTTCCTCTTCCTCTTCCTCTTCCTCTTCCTCTTCCTCTTCCTCTTCCTCTTCCTCTTCCTCTTCCTCTTCCTCTTCCTCTTCCTCTTCCTCTTCCTCTTCCTCTTCCTCTTCCTCTTCCTCTTCCTCTTCCTCTTCCTCTTCCTCTTCCTCTTCCTCTTCCTCTTCCTCTTCCTCTTCCTCTTCCTCTTCCTCTTCCTCTTCCTCTTCCTCTTCCTCTTCCTCTTCCTCTTCCTCTTCCTCTTCCTCTTCCTCTTCCTCTTCCTCTTCCTCTTCCTCTTCCTCTTCCTCTTCCTCTTCCTCTTCCTCTTCCTCTTCCTCTTCCTCTTCCTCTTCCTCTTCCTCTTCCTCTTCCTCTTCCTCTTCCTCTTCCTCTTCCTCTTCCTCTTCCTCTTCCTCCTTTTCCTTTTCCTTTTCCTTTTCTTTCCCCTTTTCATTTTTCCCTTTCCTTTCCCCCTTTCCCCTTTCTTTCCCTTTTTCCCCTTCTTTTCCTCCCTGCCTTTTTTTCCCTCCCTCCCTCCTCCAGATTTTCCTTTCCTCCTGCCCCTCTGTCCCTCCTTCCTCCTGCTCTTTCCCTCCCTTCTCCTCTCCCCTTCCCAGATTACCCCTCCTTTTTTCCCTCCCTCCCTCCCTCCCTCTCCCCTGCCGATTCCTCACGGACATGGGGTGATTCCCTCATCCCAGCCCTTCCCAAGAGACTGTTCTCCATTCCCAAGGGACCATTCCCTGTTCCCAAAGGACTGTTCCCATTCCCAGGGGACTGTTCCCTGTTCCCAAGGGACACTTCCCTGTTCCCAAGGGACTGTTCCCATTCCCAAGGGACCGTTCCCTGTTCACAAAGGACTGTTCCCATTCCCAAGGGGATGTTCCTCATTCCCAGGGGACTGTTCCCTGTTTCCAAAGGGGTGTTCCCATTCCCAAGTGACCATTCCCCCTTCCCAAGGGACTGTTCCCATTCCCAAGGGACAGTTCCCCGTTCCCATTCCCAAAGGACCATTCCCCGTTCCCAAGGGACCCTTGGGGTGATTCCATCCCCTTCCCAAGGGGCTGTTCCAGTTCCCAAGGGACCGTTCCCATTCCCAAGGGACCCTCGGGGTGATTCCATCCCCTTCCCAAGGGACCGTTCCGGTTCCCAAGGGACCGTTCCCATTCCCACGGGGTTGTTCCCTGTTTCCCGGGCAGACGCTGCTGGATCTGGGAGCATCCCCGGACTACAAGGACAGCCGGGGGCTGACCCCGCTGTACCACAGTGCCATGGTGGGGGGGGACCCCTACTGCTGCGAGCTGCTGCTGCACGACTACGCCCGCCTGGGCTGCGTGGACGAGAACGGCTGGCAGGAGATCCACCAGGTGGGACGGGATCCGCGGGGATGGGATCCAGCCGTGGGAATGTTCTCCTGGTGCCCGTGGGTGGGGCTGGCAGGAGATCCACCAGGTGGGACAGGATCCAGCCATGGGAATGTTCTCCTGGTGCTCACGGATGGGATCATTCCATGCCTGAGGTTTAGGGCTGGACTGGGGGAATGTTCTGGTGCCCATTGGTGGGGCTGGCAGGAGATCCACCTGGTGCGGTGTGATCCATGGGGATGAGATCTGCAGGGACAGGATCCAGCCATTGGAATGTTCTCCTGGTGCCTGTGGGTGGGGCTGGCAGGAGATCCACCAGATGGGATGGGATCCACAAAATGGGATCCGCAGGGGTGGGGTCTGGCCATGGGAATGTTCTCCTGGTGCTAACGGATGGGATCGTTCCATGCCTGAGGTTTAGGGTTGGGCTCTGGGAATGTTCTCCTGGTGCCCATGGATGGCGATCCACGAGGTGGTACAAGATCTGCAGGGATGGGATCCAGCCATGGGAATGTTCTCCTGATGTTCAGAGATGGGTTTGTTCCATCCCTGAGGTTGAGGGCTAGATTCTGGGAATGTTCTCCTGGTGTCCATGGATGGAAATCCACCAGGTGGGATGGGATCCACCTGTGGGAATGTTCTCCTGGTGCCCATGGGTGGGATCATTCCATGCCTGGACTGAGGGCTGGACTCTGGGAATGCCATCCATGGATTGGGTTGTCCCGTCTCTGGGATTGACGGCTGGATGGGGCCAGCTCTGCCTCCATCCCAGATTTTCCGGCCTCTCCCTGTGGTTGGGACCTTTCCAAAGGATGGCTGGCTCCAAGGAGAACGCTTTGGGATCCCGGATCCAAATCCCAGTTGTGTCTATGCCTGTTGTCCACGTGGAATCCTCTTTCTCCAAGGGAATTTGGAGAAACATGTGGATTGAGAGTCAGGAATCCTGAGCCTTGTGCTTCCCAATCCTTTGGGAGAAGGAGGGATGGGATCCCATTGGAATATCTCCCACAACACCCAGCTGGAGATAGAAAATCCAGGAATGTGTCCTGTGATCCCAATTTATGGATCCAACCCTCCCGGAGATAGAAAATCCAGGAATGTGTCCTGTGATCCCAATTTATGGATCCAACCCTCCCTGCTGCCTCCATCCTCCTCTGCTAATCCCTGAATACTGGGATGGACCAAACCTGGAGGAAAACATCCCAATTTCCCAGAGATTCGGGGCGCTGAGTTCATCCCAAGCCACCACCCAGCTGGAGGAACCTCTGGATCCGGGATGATCCAAATTTTCCCGTTGATCTGGAGCTGATTTATCTCATGGGTGTCCAGGTGGAGCTGTGAGGAGCCCACAGCCATTCCCACAGACTGGGAGATTCCCTGGCTGAATCCAGCGGGGGATTTTTTTGGTGGGAGGTTCCTCCGGTTCCGGCCGCTCCCTGATTCCCGCTTTTCCGTGTTTTCCGGAGCAGGCCTGTCGCTACGGGCACGTGCAGCACCTGGAGCACCTCCTGTTCTACGGCGCGGACATGACGGCGCAGAACGCCTCAGGAAACACCGCCCTGCACATCTGCGCCCTCTACAACCAGGTGGGACCAGCACGGGGACAGGGACGGGGACAGGGACACCGCAGGGGAGGTGGCACCAGCCCGGGACACTCCTGGATCTCACCATTCCCAAATCCAATGGTGGAATCCATTCCCGCCCTTGGATTAAGCTCTTTGAGGACGTTTCTTCTCAGAGCTCCTGAGTTTGGGTCCCAGGGTTGAATCCGAGAGATTTGGGGACAGGGGACATCGTGGGAGAGGTGACACCAGCACAGGACACTCCTGGCTCTCTATTCCCAAATCCAGAGGTGGAATCCGTAGCTCGCCTTGGATGAGACTGTTCTCCTTGGAGACCCTGATTTTGGGTTCCACAGGAGCTCCAGGATTTGGGTCCCAGGGTTGAATCTGTGGGATTTGGGGACAGGGGACATCGTGGGGAGGTGACATCAGCATGGCACCACCCCGGATCTCCCCATTCCCAGATCCAAAGGCGGAACCCATCGCTGGCCTTGGATGAGACTGTTCTTGGAGCCCCTGATTTTGGGTTCCACAGCAGAACATCCCATGGTGGAATCTGCGGGATTTGGGGACAGTGACATCGTGGGGGAGGTGACACCACCCCAGGACACTCCTGGATCTCATCATTCCCAAATCCAGAGGGTGGAATCCATCCCTGTCCCGGGATGAGGCTGTTCCTCCTCGGAGCTCCAGCCTGATTTGGGATTTCCCAAGAGAACATTCCATGGTTTAATCCATCCCATTCCCAAAATGTTTTGCTGGGACAGAATCCTTGGAAAAGGAGGAAAATCCTGGGAGAAGGGGCAGAATCCTTAAGGAAGGAAAGGAAACCTGGGAGAAAGAGCAGAATCCTTGGAAAAGGAGAGGAATCCTTGGAAAAGGGGCAGAATCTCTTGGAAAAGGAAATGAATCCTTGGAATATGGGCAGAATCCTTGGAATTTGGATCAGGGTGTTCCCAAAGATCCCTTCCAAGCCAATCCATGCTGGAATTCCGTGATTCATAACTTACTACCTTTAGAGTCAGGAATACCAAATCCTTAAGGAATGCTCATCCTCCTTCTTCCCAAAGAATTTTCTGGATATATTGCTCCCAATGCTGGTCTCATTCCCGTTTTCCCTGTTTTGTTTGTTTATTTTCCCAGGAAAGCTGTGCCAGGGTTCTCCTCTTCCGAGGCGCCAGCAAGGAAATCCGGAATTACAACAGCCAGACGGCGTTCCAGGTGAGCAGAATTCCCAGGAATCCCACAGAGCTTCCTGGCATGCCCAGGAATTCTGTCACATATCCAGAGATTTTTTCAGGTGGGATTTGTCCCACCGGGGCTGGATTTGGGATGAGCGTTCAGCACCGGAGCAGGAGGGAGGAAAAAGCAAATGGAGTTCTGGAAAAAGGGTGGGACTCTGGGGGTTTTCTGGGATGCGGAGGTGGGAAGGGGAAGTTGTTGTTTTTTGGGATGTGAATGTTTCAGATGGAGGGGAATCCTTGGAAAAAGAGCAGAATCCTTGCAAAAAGGGACAGAATCCCTTGAAAAGGAGCAGAATCCTTGAAGGATTTGGGGTCTTGAGGATTTAGGGATTTGAGGATTAAGGATTTGGAGAATTAGGGATTTTGGGACTTGGGGATTTGAGGATTTGGGGATTTGGAGAATTAAGGATCTGGGGACTTGGGACTTCAAGATTTGGGGATTTGAGGATTAGAGACTTTGGGAATTTAGGACTTGGAGATTTGGGGACTTGGAGACTTGAGGACTTCAGGATTTTGGGATTCGGGAATTTGGAGACTCGAGGACCTGGGGATCTGGAATCTGGAGAATTGGGAATTTGGGGATTTGGAGAATTAGGGGTTTTGGGACTTTGGGACTTTGGGATTCAAGGATTTGGAGAATTAAGGATTTGGGGATCTGGGAATTTGAGGATTTGGGGAATCGAGGACTTGGGGACTTGGGGATTTGGAGACTTGGGATTTGGGGACTTGGAGACTTGAGGACTTCAGGATCTGGTGATTTGGGAATTTGGGGACTCGAGGACTTGGGGATTTGGGGATTTGTGGTTTTGGAGATTTAGGAATTTGGCTGCTGGGAAATCCCCTCCCATCAGGATCAGGCTGCCCAGGGCATTCCCAATCCCTGGAAATGTCCCCAAATCCTTTGGGTGTGGCCCTTGGGGACACAGTCAGTGACACATCCAGCCGGACTGGCTGATCCCAAACCTCTTCCAAATTCCATGATTTTACCCAGGATCCAAACCCAACTTCTTGGGAGCATTCCAGGATTTGGGATGAGTTCCTGGCTGGAATCTGGGAATTCCAGGGAGAAGGGATTGTCCCCAAGCCAGGGCCACCCAAACCCTCTCCGGCTGCTGTCCCGGGAAGGCGTTGGCACCTCGGAATTCCCGGATGATCCGAGGCAGAAGAATCCTTGGCTTCCCCCCGTGGAAAGCAGCTGTTCCCATCCCTAGGAAGCTCCGGAGCTGCTCATCCCGGTTTTCCGGCTCTTTTCCAGGTGGCCATCATTGCAGGGAATTTCGAGCTGGCGGAAATCATCAAAACCCACAAAGAGTCCGATGTTGGTGAGTTGGATTTTTCCTGGTTTTCCTGGTTTTCTTTTCTTTTTTTTTTTTTTCTTCCTTTCCTGTTCATCCCAGGGATGGATTGGGGGGCATTAATGGATTTTCCTGGTGTTGCATCCATGGATTTCCTGGTGTTGCGTCCATGGATTTCCTGGTGTTGCGTCCACAGAAGCTGCAGCCACTTTGGATGTTGGAAGTGTCAGAGAGATTCCCGTGGGATTCAGGCTGTTTTTCCAGCCTGACTGACATTCCCAAGCTTTGGAATTGTCCTGGATTTGCTCTGCTGTAAAATCCTGATTTTTCTTCTCTTTTCACATCCTCGAGGGATTTAATTCCTGGAATCCTGGGATTTGGGGCAAGGAGGGAAAATCCTCTGGAAGCAGGAGCAAAGTGGGTGTTGTTCTGGTTGGATTTGCTTTTTTAGGGAATATTTTGGGAACTTTGGTCATTTGGGTCACCTTTCCCATCCTTCCCATGTCCCCATGGGAAAAATTCCAGGGAAATTTGTGTTGGGATCAGGAATAAATCCACACTTGGAGTGTTTCCATGGATTCTCCTGAGAATTTACGGATCCAGAGCTGCCGATGGGGGGAGCAGTGGGAATTCCCAGCACAAAGGAATGGAGTCGTGGGATCAGCAGCTGGAAAAAAATTTCAAGGAAAAATTCCCTCCTGGGAGGGACTGGCACAGAATTCCCAGAAAATTCTCTCTGGCTGTCCCTGGATCCCTGGAATGTCCAGGGCTGGAGCAGCCTGGGATCCTGGGAAGGGGTGGGAGTGGATGGGATTTAAGGTCCTTTCCCACCCAAATTCCTGGAATTCCATGAAAACACTGAAATGAAGGAAAACGGGGATCAGTTCTTCTGGAATTTCCAGCAGGAATTGAGCTTGGCTCAATCCCAAAAACCCTTTCTCCCATTTTTTTTCCCAGCTCCCTATTCCTGATAGCCAGAGCTGGGAATTTGGGGTGGGATAGAAAAGTCGGGAAGGATTTTGGGAAGAGCCTGAGAATTCCTTTGCCTGCAAGTCATGGAATTGATTCATCCAAGAAAAAAGTTTGGGAATAAACGACCTCCAAAGGTCCGGCCTAAATTCCCCTTGGGATCTGCACCTGGGACTGAGTGTCTCCGTGATTTTCCTCAGAAAAAAAAAGCAGGAAAACCAGCACGGAAAGCTGTCAGGAGCAATGGAAAGTCTGGGAATCAGCTCCGGATAAAAAATAGGTCAGGGAAGAATTCCAAATTAATTCCAACCCGAGCAGCAGGTCCAGATGGTCCTGCCCGCAGCCGGGAGCTTCCCGGGGTTTGGAAATTGGAGTTTGGAGAAATTAAGTTTGGAAAAAATTAGGTTTGGAAATGGGGGTTTGGAAATCTGGGTTTGGAATTTGGGTTTGGGAATCGGGGTTTGGAAGAATTGGGTTTGGAAAAATTAGGTTTGGAAATGGGGTTTGGAAATCTGGGTTTGGAATTTGGGTTTGGGAATCGGGGTTTGGAAGAATTGGGTTTGGAAAAATTAGGTTTGGAAATGGGGTTTGGAAATCTGGGTTTGGAATTTGGGTTTGGGAATCGGGGTTTGGAAGAATTGGGTTTGGAAAAATTAGGTTTGGAAATGGGGTTTGGAAGTACAGGAGGAACTGAGGAATTTTGTCAGGGCAGGGAATGGCTCCTGCTTGTGTCCTTTTCCCACGGTTTTGTGGGAATAAAGAAGGAATTTGCTGGGATTGGGGTTGGAATGATGCTGGTGGAGGGGTTTTCCCATGGAATTCCCAGTGGGAAGCTGGGCTGGGTTGAGGTGGGATTTGGTGATCCCAGTGCAGAGGGGGAAGGGTGGGAGATTCCCAGGAAAATTCCAGGCTCATCCACATTTTCCTTGGGATCCAGAGCGCTCGGCAGAGCCGGAACTTCCTGTTCCCTCTTGCCCTGGGAATTCTCCCGTTCAGGACATTCCATGGGAATCCTCTGTTTGGGGAATGATTTGGGAATTCTCCAGGGTGGGAAGTGCTGTGGGAATTCTCCAATTTGGAAAATGCCATGGGAATTTTCCATTCTTGGAAATGTCGTGGGAATTCCCCAGTTTGGGAAGTGCCCTGGGAATTCTGCAGGTTGGGAAGTGCTGCGGGAATTCTCCAGTTTGGGAGATAACTTGGGAATGCTCCAGTTTGGAAAATGCTGTGGGAATTTTCCATTCTTGGAAATGTTGTGGGAATTCCCCAGTTTGGGACATTCCACGGGAGTTTTCCAGTCTGGGAAATGCTCTGGGAATTCCGCAGGTTGGGAGATTCCGTGGGAATTCTCCAGGCAGGGAAGTGCCCTGGGAATTCTCTAGTGTGGGAAATGTGGGAATTCTCCAGTTTGGGAGATTCCATGGGAATTCTCCAGTTTGGGAAACACTTTTTCCCTTTGCCCTCTGAGCCATTCCAGGCTCCTTCCCCACTTCTTCCCTCTGGAATTTTCCAGGATTAAAATGGAATCGTGGCCTGGAAGCGAGCAGACATTTGCACTCCTCGTGCTTTTCCATGAATATTTATTATCATGGAAGCAGCGAATCCAAACAAACCTCGGAGCGTTGATTGCACTTCCCTTCCTCCGGCTGCCAGGAATTTTGGGAGCCTCTGGAGCATCTCGAGGCTGGGAATTTTTCAGGGAGCTTTGGGTGTGTCCAGCTCCCCTCAGGGAGCATCCAGGCCCCTTTGGAAAACAGGGATCTGTGTTTTCCTTTGGAAAACAGGGATCGGGCTGCTCCGAGCGGCGCTGTCATGGTAACGGACGGGATTCGTTTTGCCGGGAGAAACTCGGTAAACAAACCTGGAATAAAGTCTGGGAAAGGTGTGGGAAGGAATATCCGGAGCTCGTTGTGAGAATTGCTCTGAGTTTTGCTCCTTTGTTGTCTCCTTCCCTGGATTTTCCCACTGGGAATTGTGGATTCCAGAGAGTGGGATGAGGAAATATTCCATAGAGTTGGAAATCTGGGAATGTCCTGGTCCTGGATCCTGGAGTTTGGACTTGGTGGTTCTTCTTCATCACCATCATCATCATCTCTCCCTTCCCGGGATTTTCCCACTGGGAATTGTGGATTCCAGGGAGTGGGATGAGGAAATATCCCATAGAATTGGAAATATAGGAATGTCCTGATTCTGGATCCTGGAATTCAGGCTTGGTAGTTCTTCATCATCACCATCATCATCATCATCATCTTCTCTCCTTTCCTCTCCTTTCCCACTGGGAATTGTGGATTCCAGAGGGTGGGATGAGGAAAAGATCCAAAGAACTGGAAATCTGGAAGGAGTCTGGGAAAGTTCTGATTCCAGCTCTTGGAATTCACACTCAGTGGTTTTTCGTCTTCATCATCATCATTGTGCTCAACCAGCCAGTTTGGAACTCCAGAATTCTGGGATTACTGAAGTTGGAAAAGAATTCCATGGTCACCAAGTCCAAGTTGGTCCCGATCCCCACCAGAGCCCTGAGTGGAATTCCAGAAATTCCTTGGACACCTCCAGGGATGGCAACTCCACATCTCCCCGGGCAGCCCCTGTCAAGGCCTGACTACCCTTTCCATGGAAAAATGATCCCAAAAATCCAATCCCGACCTCCTCTGGCACAGCTCGAGGCAGCTCCCTCTTGGGAAGTCCTTCAGGCAGGGTTTTCGCTTCCTGGATTTTTTTCCAGGGTTTTTTTGTAAAGAGTGATGGAGTCCAGCATGAAACATCTCCTGGAGATGTGTCCCATGCCTGGGTGACACCTGGCCTTGGTGGGACATCCCTCTTCCGGTGGCCCTTGGGAACACGGATCACTGGTGGCCTTGCAGTGGTTGGATTTCATTGTCTGGGAGGGCTTTTCCAACCCCTTTGGATCTGAAATTCCATGATTTTGGTCATCTTTCCCATTGGGATAGCCTTGGTGGGACATTCCTCTTCCAGTGGCCCTTGGGGACACGGATCAGTGGTGGCCTTGCATTGATTTGATTTCATTGTCTGGGAGGGCTTTTCCAACCCCTTTGGATCTGAAATTCCATAATTTTGGTCTGACTTTCCCATTGGGATGTGGCCCTGAAATTCCATCATTTTGTCCAGTTTTCCCACTGGGATGGCCTTGGTGGGACATCCATCTTTCCTGGTGGCCCTTGGGGACATGGATCACTGGTGGCCTTCCTGTTGTTGGATTTCACTGTCTGGGAGGGCTTTTCCAACTCCTCTGGCTCTGAAATTCCATAAATTTTACCCAATCTTCCCATTTAGATGCCCTTGGTGGGACATCCCTCCTTCCTGGTGGCCTTGGGGACACAGATCAGTGGTGACCTCGCAGTGGTTGGGATTGATGGCCTTAATAGGTTTTTCCAACCCCTCTGGCTCTAAAATTCCATTGTTTTGATCCGGCTTTCCCATTGGGATGACCTTGGTGGGACATTTGTCCTTGCTGGTGACAGCTGGGGACACGGATCAGTGGTGGCCTTCCTGTCGTTGGATTTTGTTACCTGGGAAGGCTTTTCCAACCCCTCTGGCCCTGAAATCCCATTGTTTTGACCCAGTTTTCCCACTAGGCTGGCCTTGGTGGGACATCCATCCTTGCTGGTGACACTTGGGGACACGGATCAGTGGTGGCCTTTGCGTTGGTTGGGTTTCATTGTCCGGCAGGGCTTTCCCAATCCCTGTGGCTCTGAAATTCCATAATTTTGTCCAGTTTTCCCATCGGGAATGGCTAGATGTGGGCGCTGAGGGCAGGGGGTGCCAACAGGATCCGGGAAGCGCCACTGCCGGGAGAAATTCCCACACCCGAGGTTGGAACTCATCGGAGAACGAACGCCCAGCGTTGCCACGGCAACAGGAAGAGTTCCAGGAGCCTGAAATCCTCGGACTTTGAACCTCAAATATTCCTCAGGAAAACATTCTGAGCATGGCCATGCTCAGCCTGGGCTGCTCCTTCCCAATCCCAGGATTTTCCTTCTCCTGGTGGCCTCGGAACATCCTCAGGATTCACCTCTGGAAGGTGCCATGGGCGCGGTGGCCTTGGAATGGCAGCTCTGGGAATATCCCAGATCCAGAGGGCGCTCCCTGTTCCGGCTCGGAGCAGGAGCAATCCATGTTTATCCCAATGTTTTGGCAGTAGGAACGGGCTGGACATGGCCGATTCCAGATTTCCAACTGGATTTTGTCACAGGCACTTGACAAATTTTAGGGATGTTAAACTTCAGGATGGGAACAAGCTAATTAAACAAAATATTGGAAAATCCCATTTTCCTGGAAGTTGGGAGTACAGGGCCCCCACAGCTGAATCTCATCCCTTTCCGTAACATCCGGATCTGTTTAGGCTGGAAAAGTCCTTTAAAACATTTCAGGAATTCCCAGTGCTTCCAAGGCCACCACTGATCCATGTCCCCAAATTCCACTTGAAATCCCTCCGGGATGGGGATTCCACTCCTGGTCCCTCCGTGGAGCCGGAGTTTGCACTTCCAGGTGGATTTGGAAGGTCACTTTTCCCTGGCATTCCCAAGAATTGGGAGGGAATTCAAGACAGGGAGTGGCAGGTGATTTATTCCATGTGTTGGTTATTCCCATCTTTCTCTTGGCACATCCTGGACCTATGGAATAAGGACTTGGAATAGAAGGAGCAGCCGGGATTTGCAGAAGTTGATCCCAGCGGCAGCCGGACGTGGATTGTTGGGAATTCCACTGGTCCTGGCTTTGTCCACCAGAGCCTCCTGAGATGCCACTTCCAAACCCTTCCTGGTGTTGACCCATGGTTGGATCCCATGGATTCCCAGTGCTGGGAGAGGAGCTGGGGGCAGATGGAGACCATTCCCTTCTTCCCAAGCCAGCTCCACAAGAATTCCCAACCTTCTTCTCCACTCTCTTCTTTTCCACAACCACACTCCCAACACCTAATCTTGTATTCCCATTTTTAGGGGGTTTAGATTCCCACCTAATCCCACATTCCTATTTTTTTGAGTCCTTAGATTCCCACCTAATCCCATCCTTCTGGTTTTTATTCCCGGTGCCTTTCCAAGAAACTCCCAACCTTCTTCCCAACCCGACTCCACACCCATTCCCAACCTTCTCCCTCACCCTCTTCCATCTTTTCCCACAACTGTACTCCCAACACCTCATCCCATATTCCCATTTATTTGTGTCCTTAGATTCCCACGTAATCCTACATTCCCATTTTTTTTTGGGCCTGAGATTCCTACCTAATTCCATCTTCCAATTTTTCATTCCCAGTGCCTTTCCAAGAAACTCCCAACTTTCTTCCCAACCCATCTCCACACCCATTCCCAACCTTCTCTCTCACCCTCTTCCATCTTTTCCCACAACCACACTCCCAACACCTAATCCCATATTCCCATTTTTTGAGTCCTTAGATTCCCACCTAATCCCATATTCCCATCTTTTTCGGGCCCGAGATTCCTACTTAATCCCATCCTTCTGGTTTTTATTCCCAGTGCCTTTCTGAAAAACTCGCAACCTTCTTCCCAACCCAGCTCCACACCCATTCCCAACCTTCTCCTCCACTTTCTTCTATCTTTTCCCACAACCACACTTCCAACACCTAATCCCATATTCCCATTTTTTTGGGCCTGAGATTCCCACCTAATCCCATCCTTCTGCTTTTTATTCCCAGTGCCTTTCCAAGAAACTCCCAACTTTCTTCATTCCCAACCCAACTCCACACCCATTCCCAACCTTCTCCCCCACCCTCTTCCATCTTTCCCCACAACTCCCAACACCTAATCCCGCATTCCCGTTTTTCATTCCCAGTGCCTTTCCGAGAAACTCCCAGCTACACCAAGCGCCGCCGGCTCCTCGGTTCCGGCGGGTTGGCGTCGCCGCGCGTCCTCCAGCGCTCGGCCAGCGACAACAACCTGAAAGCCGAGAGCCGCGCCTCGTATTCCCCGGTGCCGTCCCTCCGGAGCCTCCCGCCGCAGCTCCTGGTCCAGATGCAGGAAGCGGCCGCTGGAATCGCGGCCTCTGGAATTGCGGCTGGAGACGGGAGCTTGGCCAGCTCGGGCAGCGCCCGCAGCGCCCACAGCCGCTCGCCCTCGCTGCAGCGCGTGCAGGAGGAGAGGGAGGCCGAGGTGCCCTCGCTGCGCCGGAGCAGCCGCGGGAAAGCCAGGTATGGGATTGGGAATGGGATCCCCGGGATTGGGCTGGGGTGTGGGAGGGTTAGTGATGGGAATGGGATCCCGGGGATTGGGTTGGCATGTGGAAGGGTTAGCGATGGGAATTGGATCCCGTGGGTTGGGTTGGGGTGTGGGAGGAGCTAGAGATGGGAATGGGATCCCGGGGATTGGGCTGGGGTGTGGAAGGGTTAGTGATGGGAATGGGATCCCGGGGATTGGGTTGGGGTGCGGGAGGAGCTAGAGATGGGAATGAGATCCTGTGGATTGCGTTGGGGTGTGGGAGGGGTTAGTGATGGGAATGGGATCCCATGGATTGGGTTGGGGTGTGGGAGGGGTTAGTGATGGGAATGGGATCCCATGGATTGGGTTGGGGTGTGGGATGAGCTAGAGATGGGAATGGGATCCCAGGGATTGGGTTGGAGTGTGGGAGGGGTTAGTGATGGGAATGGGATCCGGGGATTGGGTTGGGGTGTGGGAGGAGCTAGAGATGGGAATGAGATCCCGGGGATTGGGTTGGGGTGCGGGAGGAGCTAGAGATGGGAAGGAGATGCCGTGGATTGCGTTGGGGTGTGGGAGGAATTAGTGGCAGCAATGGGATCCCATGGATTGGGTTGGGGTGTGGAAGGGTTAGTGATGGGAATGGGATCCCAGGGATTGAGAGAGTGTGAAAGGCATTAGAGCTGGAAATGGAATCCCATGGATTGGGGGTATGTGTGAAAGGAATTAGGGTTGGGAATAGGATTGTATGGATTGAGGGGGTGTAGAAAGAATTAGAACTGGGAATGCGATCCCATGGACTGGGGGGATACGAGATGTGAGGTGGGAAGAGTGGGAAAGGTTTGTTGTTCCAATGAGGAGCGCGGTTATGGTGGATCATTGGGTTTTCCGTGGGTTTTTCCTGCTATTCCAAGGTCAGATCCCGTTTTTCCCTGGATTTTCCCTGGGTTTTTCCCTCCATCCATGCCAGTCAAATTTGGTTCTTCCCTGGGTTTTCCTTCTGTCCCATACTTGGATTCCATTGTTCCCTGAGTTTTTCCCTGGGTTTTTCCCTCCATCCATGCCAGTCAAATTTGGTTCTTCCCTGGGTTTTCCTTCTGTCCCATACTTGGATTCCATTGTTCCCTGAGTTTTTCCCTGGGTTTTTCACTAATAGTTTTTCTCTGGGATTTCCCGCCATTCCATGCTTGGATCATGGAGACCATGGATATCATGGATTCATGGATATCATGGATTACGTGGATATCGTGGATATGGCATCTGGTGGTTCTAGTGGGATTGGGATTTGGATCGAAATTGGGATTGGGATAGGAATTGGGATTGGGATTGGATCTGGTGTTATCCCTCTGCTCCTCATTCCTGCCAGCCGTGTCCCATGGGAATGTTGGTTTGCCTGGGATCAGGAATGGTCACCGGTTCCGATGTTCCTGACATGTCCGGGGATTTTGGGACATCCCTGCGGTGGCCGCGGGGTCCAGATTTGGATTCAGAGGATTCTGTTGGAATTGTGGAATCCTGGAATGGGAAGGATCCTAAAGCTGATCCAATTCCACCCCATTCCAAGGGCAGGGACACCTCCCACTATCCCAGGTCGCTCCAACCTGGCCTTGGAATTTGGGATGCACGGGAATTTGGGATGTGCCGGAGGCAGATCCAGAGTGGGATATGGAGGCATTGGGAGGTCAAAAATAGTGTGGGGTTTAAAAATCCATAGTCCTGGAAATATTCCCAAAATTCCCTGGAGCAGCTCTGCCCAACTCCCTGTCCAAACTTCCCGAGGATTCTTGGAGCTGGCTCTGTGATTCCCAACCTTTTGCAGGGAAAATATCCCTTGGAAAGAGCTCTTTGCTCCATTATTTCCAGGTTTTTTCTAGGGATAGAGGGATCGTGGAATTCATTCCATGGAGCTGGGGCAGGAGAAATTCCCAGATTTGCAATTTTAACAGCTCAAGTTGGGAAAAAACCTTGGAAGTTTTAATTCCCAACAAAAACTCCTTCACTCCATGACAAGGGATATCCATAATAACTGGAATCTCCTCACACTTTCCTGGAAAAATCCTGGAGAAAAATGGATTCTGGGGCAGCTTTTCCAGGGAATATCAGGAATATTTAGTGTTGTCCAAGTTTTTTATTCCAAGGGAGGTTTTCCAGCTCCTCTCCCAGCTCCCTCCCTTCCCTTTTCCTGCTCCAGAGCTGCTCCCAGAATTCCAGGGGATCCCTCAGCCATTCCCAGGAGCAGCAGGGCTGGGCCAGCAGAACTTTTCCATGTGTTTTTTCCAGGTTTTAGCTGGATCCCTCCTCCCTCCCTCCCTCCCGGCCGTGACTCTGACTCATTCCCCACGTGCCGGAGCCTCCGCGCTTTTCCCAATCCCACTCCAGCACCACGAGTTTCCCATCCAACTCCTCGTGCTGGGATCATCCCTCCGGATATTTCATTCCTTACGTTCATCCCAGCCTCATTCCCAGTTTTTGGAGCCCTCTGGATTTGGGAAGGATCTTAGATCCATCCTGCTTTTCCTGCCCAGCTCCCGGCGCATCCCAGATATTTCCATTTTGGGAAGGGAGGCTTTGGAGCAGGGAATCATCCCCTGGATCTGGAAGAGCCAGGATTTTTGGGATCAGCTCCTTTTCCCACCAATCCATGACAATTCCCTCTGATCCCACATTTCTTCCATCCAGGCTTTATTTGCTCCAGTTTGGTTTTTGTTTGTTTGTTTGTTTTTCCCCCCGAAGGAATTCAGTGTCTGAATTCCTCCAGTTTTCCTTATTCCCATTTTTCCCGTTTGCTCCAGTTTGGTTTTCGTTTGTTTGTTTGTTTTTCCCCCAAAGGAATTCAGTGTCTGAATTCCTCCAGTTTTCCTTATTCCCATTTTTCCCCCTCTCCTGGACACATGACCAGAGTTTCCAAAATAATTCTTGGAATGCTTTAATCCCTCCTCAGCATTCCCGATGTGTCCGGCCAGGCTCATCCCAAAATCCTTCCTTCATTCCTGCTGCTCCTTTTCAGTCGGGATCTTCCCAAAATCTCCTCGCTTATCCCAGATTTCAGCACCTTGGAATTTCCACATCCATGGGGAAGTTTTCCTTCTCTGCCATCAACCAAAGGAACACCAGGAATTCCCAGCAATTCCTGGGATTTTTTTTCCTGCTGGTGTTGGATTTAGGGAATGAAATGAATTGTGGGAATTCCCTCCATGGGAATTTCCCAGTGGGATGCAGAGGTTTGGATTTGTTCAGGAACAATTCCAGGTTTCCAGGTGGTGTTTGGAGTCAAATCCCACCCCTGGAAGTGCCCAAATCCGGGTTGGATGGGGCTTGGAGCAACCTGGGATAGGGAAAGGTGTCCCTGTCCATGGAGAACAATCCCAGGAATGTTGGGAAGAGATCCTGGAAACTTTAGGGAAAGGATTCTGGGAATGTTGGGAGAACAATCCGGGAAACTTTGGGAGAATCATCCTGGGAATGTCAGGGAAAAGATCCTGGAAACTTTGGGGAAAAGATCCTGGAAATGCTGGGAGAACAATCCTGGAAATGCTGGGAGAACAATCCTGGCACTGTTGGGAGAAGGATTCTGGAAATGCTTTGCAAAAAATCCTGGGAATGTTGAGCAAAAAATCCCAGAAATGTTGGGAGAAGGTCCTGGGAATGTTTGGGAATCCCTGGGGCTGAATCCGGATCCGTGGCCACCGGCAGCTCCGGGTGCCACCCCCAGATCCCACCAGCCTGGGAAATAGGGGCCGGAAATCCTGGGAAACCGAAATCCTGGGAAACAGAAATCCTGGGAAACAGAAATCCTGGGAAACAGAAATCCTGGAACCGTGTCCAAGTGCAGAGAAGGAGAATCCCAGGATGCTCCCAGAGGGGGAATTCTCCTAGGAGCAGAAATTCTTCCTAATTCTGTGTGAAAATTTGGGAATTTTTTCCCTAATTCTGTGGAAAGTCGGGAATTCTTCCTAATTGTGTTTGGGAATTCAGGAATTCTTCCTAATTCTGTGTGGAAATTCAGGAATTTTCCCTAATTCTGTGGGAATTCAAGAATTCTTCCAATACTGTGTGAAAATTCAGGAATTTTCCCCCATAATTCAACCTAAAATTCCTGCGGCACAGCTCAAGGATTTCCTGGGAGCAGATCCCAAATCCCACCTGGCTGCTGCCTCTGCCATGGAATTCTGGATCCTCCTTTTTTTTCCAGGATGAGCCCCACCCCCACCCAAATTCCCTCTGGATGCTCTTCCCAGGATTTGGGCTCCTTTCCCTGGGAAAGGAATCCTGGAAAACAGAGCCAGAAATTCTGGGAATTCCCAAGGGAAACATTGTTTAAACCAATCCCAGAATCCTTCCCCTGGAATTCCCTTCTGGTCATTCCCATGAAATCCCATGGAAATTAAAACGTCCTGGATTTTTGGGATTGTTGGATGCATCGGAAGCGATTTTTGGGAATATCGTGGTGCATTCATCCATCAGAGTGGGAATTCTCTGGGGATTTATTCCAAATTTATTCCCAAGGAGATTTTTCCATCCTGGAATGGGACAATTCCCAGTGGAAGCACCACCAGGTGGACGCTTCCATGGGCTGGAATTCCCTGGACACGGAGTCCCATCAATCCCACCTGGAATTCCAACGGGATGGAGGTGATCCAGGACAGGAAATTCCATGGAACGCAAACCCCAGGTTGGGAGGAAGAGCTGCTGCTCCTTCCCAGAATTCCCTTTCCCTTCGGAATCCCGTGGGAATCCCAGCGGGAGGATGTGGGCACCGAGCGTGGAGAAATCCTGGGAATTTTGGGAATCTCACGAGCCTCTTAATCCCCACCTCTGGATTGATCCGGCTGCCGCTCGGAAATCCGGGATGAGCTCGGGATTCATGGAATGAGGGCCTGGAGCCTCCTGGTGCGGGGAGATAAAAGGGATGAAGGGAAAACTCCGCTGGAAAAACGCCCGGGAATCTGCTCCCATGGAAAACATCCGACCCCATCCGGGCAGCTGCGCTCCTGGA